ATAGTGCCGCTTTTAAGGTCAGCCGAACGAGGTCAAAGTATAAAATATTTGACTTAAGACAACCTCAAAACGACATCATTTAAGAAACTAGAGGGAGTATATTAGTTATAAATTTTGAGTATATTTTTTACAAATTGGGTTAAACTTAAAATATTTTGGCTTAGAATCACTCTAGAAGTTGAATAAATTTGGGACGGAGGGTATCCACGAAATACAATCATCCAGTCACTATCTTGAGTCTATAGACGATCAAATAGATGGCATGTTTCTACAATAATAAACACCACACTAATAGGTACTACTCAGTTACACATTCTCGCATAGTTATACCAAGACTTGAGACATGACGTGTTGTTCCCTTAGCCCAAGCATGGCGCTAAGGCCTCTTAGCCATGTCATTCCCACATGTGGGCCACAACAGTCTAATGGGTCTATGCCAGTCAGGCTCCACAAGAGTCATACGCCACTACTAAGCTCGTGGCTTCAAGTAGCGTGTGGCTATTGTAATGGTGTTGTCACACCTGTGCTACCACAACGCGCGCTAGCATGTTGGGGCCATCGCCATTGCCACCACCGCTAAGGGAGATGAGAAGGAGAGACCGAGTCAGGTAGACAAGAGGCATTGGGAAACAAAGCGAGGGGGGGGGGGATCGGCAGCCATAGACCTCAGGGTTAGGGGAGTGGCGACCTATGGAGCATAGAGGGCGCGGCTAGGGGAGACAGTCTAGGAGGCGGTGGACTAGGGATTAGAGTGACGAGGAGCATCCGAAGAATGGAGAGGCACTTAGGAACAATGACCTTGCTGAAAGGAGAGGACTGGGAGGGTAGGGAGCGGTAGGCGGAGTCGCAGGGTTAAGGTGGATCTAGATTTTCTTAGAAACATTTTAGACCCTAACTCTCTTAAAAGTATTTTTTGTTGAATCAAAATTACTTCGTGGAACCATTTTGCTAGCTCGCTGGATTCTTAAAACCCTAAAACTAAAACTAGAATTATAAGAAACCTTGTGTTGACAGCAAAAGGTTTACGCCCTGTTCTTCGGCACTATTTCACAGTGTTTTCCTTTCACAAGAAATCAGCAGCAGCAGCAGCAGCGAAATTTCAACGAAACGAACAGAGCCTTAGACTAGTAAAATCAAAAATGGATTCCAAGTGATTCACCTTAAAATGTTCTTGGCTGCCACACGTATGCACCCTATTCAATGAGCTATGCTGCTGAACCATAGAGGAAGTAGAGTAGAAAAGAAGTCATTGGCACCAACTGGAGTAAACCTAGCCAAGGTAGGCACTAACCAGCTAGCTTTGGAGACATGTGCGCAATGAAGGTCAATTAATTAACTGATCCAACCTTCAAAATAAGTTATCTGATCATATCTGGACTTGCATCTTTCTCTGTCTGACACCAATTACGATTGGCTTCCCTCAACCACACTGCATATCTACTACGGAGTACTTCACTGGGACACTAGCTTCTCAAGAAAAACATCTCCTAAATGTTAGCACGCAGTGGTTAGCATGTCGATTGGTACATGTTTTATGACAGTCCCCAGCAAAATCATTTGGCGATGATGTAAGGTCTGGTGTTATCCTCTGATCACTATAACGATGGCATATAGGCTACCTAAACGAAAGAGAGTGATGACAAAATATCTTGCTAAGTAACTGAATCAACTGATCAACATAATATCCTTTATGTCCTTTTTTTCTAGTCAATTTATTATATCTTAAAACCTACTCCGTAAGGGCTGCGGACGTCCAGCTATCGGAAGTCAGAAGTCACGGTGTCAGGTATTCAGGTGTACAACTCCTGGTAGTTAACCCGCCGCCCCTGTGTGCATGGTGTGCGCGAGCAATTGGACGCAGACGCTCGATGGTGGTGAATTTCGCCGGCGAACGGGACGGACGGCGATGGAGCAGAGAGAAAGAGAGAGACGGCGGCCAGCATCGGGCCTTTATAGGCGCAGGCGACGAACTCCAGCACGCCAGAGTCTTCGTGAACACAACCACGCGGACGGCCGCGCGTCCAAACGCGCGAAGTGCCGCGAAGGACACGGCGGACTCCGGTGAGCCGGGCGAGCACGCTGCTGCTGGGGGTACTGTAGCAGGGCGCCTTCCTTCTGCTTCTTCTCTTTTCTCCCAAATCCAAATTGCAACTTCAAAAACTCCAAGAACAAAAGTTGTTTATCTTGACGAGATCTTCAACTTAGCTTTAAGGCTCAACCCCTAATTCGAACCGGTTAAAGAGCTTTTGAATTTTGAAGATGGAATTTGAAACCTGATTTTTTTGTTAGGGTTAGTAAAACAGCTAATTAGCTACTTTGGGTAATTAATTGGGTGATTAACTAGTTGTCAAACAATTCAACCAATAGCTCAGTTGCAAAGTACAAACCTCATACCAATCAATGAAACAAAGGTTGCCCAACTTTTATTTGTGAAAATTGGTTTAATAAATTCTCCAAAATTTAATTCAAAGTTGAATTCCAAGACAACCAAACTTAAAGTGCTGAATTTCAAAACTAAATTCAAACTTAGAGCTCAAATTTGAACATGTTTAATTTAGAAACATCATCAATTTTTGTTTCTATATTATAAATCACACTTTATTCTACAAAGTTTATTTTTAACAAAAAATTTATTGTTTAAACAAATTATTATTTTATAAAATTATAAAGAACGTTAATCACTATTATTGCTAACATTTCATGGAACACATGAAACACATCATAAGCAACATATTCATGCTATAATTGAAACATGAAATGCATTTATGCCGTAATGCTTAATGGTTATGCATAATGATGAACATGATCAAGTCTTTATTAAGTGCTTAACACCTAGGGTGTTACAAGAGACCCCACGAGCGTCGAAGGCCGCCGCCGTCTCTGGCACCCCTTTGTCCCCTGCGCCGCCGATAGGTGTTGGCGCCACCACGGCCGCCCCGCACACGTGCAGTGTGGCCAGACCTGGCGCGCCCACGCCACCTCCGACGCCGGGACCGGATGATGACGTTGCCGCCGTGATTGCCCAGCGCGCGGGAGCCGGAGCTAGGGCAAGCCCCGCCCCGGCCGCCGCCGACGTCAACACCACGCCGACTGGGCCTAGGTCCGGACCTTCGTGGCTCGCCGCTGGGTCGCCAGGCGCCCCTAGCTCCTCCCTCTCATCGACCGCGGCACCGTTCTTCCCAGGACGCTCCACGGGAGGGCGTACGAAGAGCTAGCGGTGGGTGGATGACAACGGCGAGGAGACCGATGTTGACCACCCCGCAACCTACCTTGATGCCGCTCGTCGCCCGGCGAATCCGATCACTGCGTCCCCCATGTGCGCCCAGACTCGTTCAATCGTGGTTCTGGGGCGCAGCGGTGCGGACGCTGGACAGGGACCTGCGCGAAGGCGAAGGAAGCGTAGCCGGCCGCGACCCTAGCTTGTGCACGGCTTGCCTGCTCGGCCAGTGGATGGTCGTGTCCCTGTCCGCCAACGCCTTGGCGCCCGCAGGCGGGTCTCCGCCCCCGACGCCGATGGGTGGCAGGAGATCTTACCCCGACAAGAGGCGGGGCCTGCGGCTGCCTCGGTTGAGCCTTGCCGCGGCCCAGGTCTACGCGCACAAGCTCAGAAGATCCCCGCATAGCTCCGCGACAGATGTTTCAACTGTCTCTCCTACTCGCACCGAGTAGCGACTTGCCGGTTGCCACGGCGTTGCCTGCGCTGTCGCGGATTGGGCCACCTCGCCAGGGACTGCAAGCGGTCCAAGTCGGCGCCGAAGGGTGGTGGCCTACCTCGCCACTCAACTCGTGCCGACAACCCACCAGCTTCCCAGCACGCACACCTCGGCAGTCCACCAACCTCGGATGGGACCGCCCAGGGTGTTGTGGAAGGTGCCGACGACATCCGTCGAAGTTGGAGACGACGTCGATGCCGTAGGGGTAAGCCGGCGACGAACATCAGCATCTGCGCTCCTACCGACGACGCTGACAACGCCACTGCTTCAACTATCGCATGCTAAATGCTACTAGTCAATGTTTCACATCTATGATTCCGAGCATCATACCAGGTACTAGTATCTGCAGAGTCGAAGTTTAATGTGAAATTAAAAACATGAATCTAAATGAGCGCACAAATTTTCCAAATGAAATATGACTTAAGTAGATAACATATAACAGTATTTTTCACATCATAGCTTTCTTCGCTAGACTGTATCAACTCAAAAGATAAATTGTTCATGTTGAAATCAGAGGCTCTGCATTACAACAGAATTCGCAGTTGACCATGTGCTGATCCTGGATGTACCTCATCTTCAGTGGAAATATAATCCTGAATGTGTTTCCTATAATAGATTAAGATATTACTAAACAAGGCATTGAGGCCTTTTTTTCTGTGTGAAATTAATAGGAAGCATGTATCGTAGCCAGTTTAATTAATGATTTGGAAACTAAGGGTGACTGTCTTGCGGTAACCAGACTTACCAAATGAAAGGCTCATCAAAGAGATGATGTGAAGCAAGGAATTTACTACAGCATTCGCCTCACCAATAGTCCCTGCATGAGCAAAACCCATCTTTGAAACGATGGAACCGATTTGCATCCCTCAGTATGATTTCCCGAGATGTTATCTTAGCGATCAACTTTATTGCAGAGTGGCAATCACCACAGACTCTGAGATTTTTCATGACACGAATAGCCAATTCTTTTGGGATTTTCAATAGTCCATATGCCACAGCCTGCCTCTCACTGTGATACCGTAGGCTATGAGTTTTTTGCTCATCATCTATATCATGCTCAAAGATATACCGTAGGCAATACATCTTAGTTTCTCGGATTTTATACATGCTTAAAAATATTATGTAAAAATTGAACTATGGACAAAAAAACATTGGTTGTTTTTATGTGCGTCTCTAGGATAAATCCGTTGCGTTGCGTTCGCACGGGCATTAGTATCACGAAGCACAAAACTTCCATCAGCCGAGTATCCAGATTCCATCAACAACCCATCTAACTTCTCCAGCATTTTAAGGATAATAGCACGTGGAACTGCAAGACGACAAGGTGAGGTTGTCGCACATTGGCGACCTGCAGGGGAGCACGTGGAACGTGGAGGCGTTGGACGGGTCCAACGGTCCGAGCGCCCGGCTGAAGCAGACGGGGCACGGTCGGCACTGCGTCCAGACGAGGTCACTCCCGGTGTCGAGGATGAGCTGCACGGGCTGCGGCGGCGTGCCGATGGCAAGGTGCACCAGGTACTCCGTGTCGAGGACGCCGTTGGTGTAAGGTCCCGGGTCTACGCGGGCGCTTGTCGCGCGCCCCGAGGCCGAGAGCAGCCGCGCGGCGCGGGCCTCGCTGCGCGCGGCCATGCGGTGCAGCAGCTCGCGGCGGGTGAGGCTGCGGCCGCCGTCCGCGTGGTGGGCGTGCAGCTTCAGTGCTGCCGCATCGCAGCAAGAAAAGGTCAGAGCAAGCAACGGCAGCCAGAGAACCATCTTTTTGAACGAGAGCAGTAGGAGAGCTATCTTCTGAAGCTGCTTCATTTGCATTTGGTTCAGTTCCATCGAGCATCAGTGTTATCTGCATGTTTTTGGAACAGAGATGGAGGCTTGTATATAAAAGATTTTGTACTTGCACTAATTGAGCTGTGTTTCGCAACTTGTGTAAGAAAAATGAAAGAAATTGATATCGTACAGATATAATATCAATCATTTTCCTTATTCTAATTTCCAACCCACAGGTACGGTCTTTCACGCGTACAACTCTAGCTACCGTGTTGCTTACGTGCTCTTTCTGCCGTCTATGGTCATTCCTCCTGTATGCTTTGTCAAAAGATGTACGTCGTGAAAAGGATAGAATAATAAAAGAAACACAGAAAGCGGACCATTATTCCTACCTCTTGACAGAGGGCAGAGGCAGAATGGAAAGGAACAGGTCTAGACTCGGAGTTGGTGGAACCTTAATGCAGTGGAACATGGAAATTACCGATTGACAATGTGGGGTTTTAGCTCACTGGCTCGCACAGGTTTGTCACATTGCAGTTGCATCCATTCTTGGAACTACGGCACTTCAATCTTACACTTATAATCAATCTTGATCAAATATTCTTATGCTGGTTACAGTTAACAGTTGAAATTTACTTCAGTTCAGGTCAATTTTTAAATAACAGTAGGATTTTTTTTTCCATTTCAAGTCGACCTTCAAATAGTAACGGTGATAAATTAACTCCAACTATGTTATCGAATCGGTGTACCTTTAGATTCATGAACAAGGACTACGGATGTTGAAGATGTTACAAAGCTATGCCTCATTCTTCAAATTTGTACCTGCAGTTCATGAATCAGCATCATTACTTCAGTTTTGACAACAAAATCTGGTGCAAATTATTCTGAAACAAAGACCTTGCCAAAGTAACTAGTTTCACCCGAAAACATATATTACACTCTTTTTCTGAAACTTTACATGTTTACATACAATACAAGGAATAATTATAGGGCTGGTAAATCTGTCGTTAAATATTGATGTCCACAGATACAAATGAACAGACTAACATTTTAAAGAAAAAAGGTAGTTGCTTTACCTTGGTCCACTGCTGGCAGTAGAATTATGTTACAAGGAATGTAAGTGAATTTCCATACTTGATCTCCACAAGTAATTGTCTAATCTGACCAGTGACAACCTGCACAGAAAAGCACAATGTGCAGTCGTTGAGATCCCACGGCACACTAGTGTACCCCATCTCTGTCGTTTTGTGAATTGTGACTATTTGCCAAACTTGGTGAGGTGCTTTAAGATGAAATGCTGAATGCCACTAGTCAATGTTTCACATCTATGATTCCGAGCATCATACCAGGTACTAGTATCTGCAGAGTCGAAGTTTAATGTGAAATTAAAAACATGAATCTAAATGAGCGCACAAATTTTCCAAATAAAATATGACTTAAGTAGATAACATATAACAGTAATTTTCACCTCATAGCTTTCTTCGCCAGACTGTATCAACTCAAAAGATAAATTGTTCATGTTGAAATCAGAGGCTCTGCATTACAACAAAATTCGCAGTTGACCATGTGCTGATCCTGGATGTACCTCATCTTCAGTGGAAATATAATCCTGAATGTGTTTCCTATAATAGATTAAGATATTACTAAACAAGGCATTGAGGCCTTTTTTCTGTATGAAATTAATAGGAAGCATGTATCGTAGCCAGTTTAATTAATGATTTGGAAACTAAGGGTGACCGTCTTGCGGTAACCAGACTTACCAAATGAAAGGCTCATCAAAGAGATGATGTGAAGCAAGGAATTTACTACAGCATTCGCCTCACCAATAGTCCCTGCATGAGCAAAACCCATCTTTGAAACGATGGAACCGATTTGCATCTCTCAGTATGATTTCCCGAGATGTTATCTTAGCGATCAACTTTATTGCAGAGTGGCAATCACCACAGACTCTGAGATTTTTCATGACACGAATAGGCAATTCTTCTGGGATTTTCAATAGTCCATATGCCACAGCCTGCCTCTCACTGTGATACCGTAGGCTATGAGTTTTTTGCTCATCATCTATATCATGAAGCACAAAACTTCCATCAGCTGAGTATCCAGATTCCATCAACAACCCATCTAACTTCTCCAGCATTTTAAGGATAATAACATGCTCTGGATGTGCTAATACATCACCCGATGTGAAGAGATGCACCCTCTTGTCGTATTCTATCCAACTACAGCCTGGTGATTTGTTCAAATGCCTTGAGCTAATGAATTTCCGCATCTTAGAAGCATCTTCCCATCTTCCAGAGGATGTATAAATGTGAGACAGCAAGACATATGGTCCAGCATTTCCAGGCTCTAGCTCTAAAAGCTTCTTAGCAGAAATCTCAGCAATCTCAGCATTCTTGTGCATCCTACAGGCTCCCATCAAAGCTCCCCAGATGACAGCATCTGGTTTAACTGGCATGGTCTTTATCCAATCCAGTGCTTCCTCCACAAGTCCAGCTCGACCAAGCAAATCAACCATACAAGCATAATGCTCCAATCCAGGTTTGATGCCAGAATTTGTACCCATAGAATTAAAAATATCCCTGCCTTCTTTAACTTTTCCTGTGTAGCTACATACTGTAAGGGCCCCTATATATGTAATTCCATCAGGCACCATCCCAGCCAACCTCATGTCATCAAATATGCGGAGTGCTTCCTCTCCCGACCCATGTTGGGCATAACCAGTGATCATGGAGTTCCACATCACAACATCTTTGGGCTCAAACATGTCAAAGACCCTTTTGGCCTTATCCAAATTCCCGCATTTGATATACATTGTGATTAATGCTGACACGGCAAAGATGTCCATATCAAAGGAGCACCTCAGCATTGCACCATGCACCTCTCTCCCATAATCAAGAACAGCCAGTGCTGCACATACCGTGAGGACGCTGATGACTGATGGGTAGTTTGGACGGATTCCAATGTGCAACATCTCACGGAAGGTAGACAGTGCCTCCATCAAGAATTCATTCTGTTCATATGCTTTGATGATTGCACTCCATGTTCCATCATCTCTCTCACACATCCTGTTGAAGACTGCCTTGGCAGCATCCACCATCCCCCGCTGCCCAAACCCAACTATCATCGCATTGCAGGCGGCCAATGGGTGATCTGGCATTGCATTAAACAGCTCCTCAGCATCCTCTATGCGGCCAGCCTGTATATACCCAAATAGCATTGCAGTCCACGACACCTCATTTCGCTCAGGCATCACCTCAAACAGCTTCCGAGCAAGGTTCACCTGCCCATTCTGAGCGTAGCCAGAGGCGCAATCCTGATCATAATAATTTATAAGTGATAATGATCTAATAAAGGGAGGATAATGGTCTAAGAAAAGGAGAATAACGGATTATGAAGTTAGAGGAGGCTTAAATCTATAATGCCACATGGGGATATTTGTAAGGGCAAGATAAGTTTTCAAAGATGTTTACATGTGGTATCTTTTAAGCATCATATAACATTGCCCTTTGCATTGCATCCTAGCAAGTAAATAGTGTTTAGATTCAAAAAAAATTATTATTTGCTTTGTTTTGGTCGTGTTGTCATCAATAACCAAAAAAGAGATATAGTAAGAAAAATGGACTCTAGGCTCATTTACTTTAGATTTTGGTGTTTAATGGCCAACACAACCAAATTGGACTAATGTATTTGCAAGTGTTTGTTTTGTAGTCCAATAGGGTGCAAACGTGATTTGGACGAAGGCGATGTGATGATCCGATGATCAATACCTCAAGAAAGACATTGGAAGATACATAGAAGACATACAAGATCAAGTACAGTCCAAGACATGAAGATAGAACCAAGCCAGGCGCAAAGATCGTGAAGAAACAAGTGAAGAAAGGGTTAAAAGTGTGACAGGATGCTCTGACCGGACTCACTGACCGGACGCGTCCGATGGGAAACCCTAGCGTCAGCGCGCCTGCCCGTGTGACCAGACGCTGAGGATTCAAGTGACCGGACGCGACGATGACACTGTTCACTATCGTGACAATAACTTAGCACTGACCGGACGCTGGTGGATGGTCGACTGGATGCGGGAATAGTAGCGTCCGATCGTCATGCAGAGAGGTTCCAGAGAGGCGCAGATGCGACGGGACGCGTCCGGTGGCTATGACCGGACTCGGTCAGAGTCCGATCAGTTGATCGCGTCGAAGACCAAGTGACCGTTGTGAGTGACCGAACACGTCTGGTCAGGACGAGAGTAGCGTCCGGTGCTGACAGAAAAGTTGGGACTTGGGTCCAACAGCTAGCTCTCTCACTTGGGGCTATTTATACCCCTCCAACCGGTCATTTGGAGTGTGGAGAAGTGAGGAAACATATCAAGGGTGTTGATATACCATTTTAGTGCTCTACATATATATAGTGCTTAGTGATACACTTGGTGATTAGCGTAGGTGCTTTACGAAGTGATTAGGTTAGTTAGACCACCGCTTATGCGCTTGCTCTAGATTTAGGCCTAGTGGTTAGTGAGGTTTGCACACCTCTTACCACTCGGTGCTTGCGCGTACCATTGTTGTACATCGGAGGGGTTTATAGTCTTGCGAGATCACATCAACCACGTTTGTGGTGTGGCCGCTACCGTGTACCGAAGGGAACAAGGCCCACAGCGGTTCGGTTGGAAGCTTGATAGTGAAGACGACGGGGAGCGGTCTATGAGAGGCTTGTTGGAACGCACATCGGAGCCCCACTTGCGCGTGGGGAAGGCCCGGGGCTATCCACGGAGTTACTTGACCAGGAGCTTGACCCTTGCGAGGGGCTCCAACGAGGATTAGGAGGAAGCTTGCGCGCTTCTCGATACCTCAGTAAAAATACCGGAGTCATCGACAGGAGTTTGCATATCTCTACCTTACTCTTTAGCTTCCGCATTTACATTGCAATCTTGGTTTGTGCTTTACTTTCCTAGCTTAGTGATAGGCTAGTTGATAGGTTTGGAACCTAGGTTGCATAACTTCTTTTTGCGGTAGAGATAGCAACTCACTAGCAAAACCATAGTTGCATATTTAGATAGTTTATCTTTTGCATAGGTTTTTGCTAAGGATAGAAAAAGAGGCCATAGTTTAGAGTTAGAGTTTTAAGTTGCCTAATTCACCCTCCCTTCTTAGGCGTCACGGTCCCTTACAGACCCCACCATGGATATCACTCATAAACTGCTTCCCTTATTCAATGGGGATGCAACGCTGCAGGATCCCCATGTGGCTTCGCCTGTAGAGCTCGCCCTCAATAAGGACAAGGGACTTGGCGTGACGCGCGAGCCGCCGAGCCTCCATTTTGTCCATCAGCAGTGCCTCACGGAGGTGGTAGTTGAGGTAGAGCGTCTTCCGGTCGGCTAGAGGGTCGGGCTCTGTCGCTGGATCCTCGTCAAGCTCCATGACCTCGGGGTCGGATGGAGCCACCGGCTGGTTAGACCCCATGCCCAGGGCAGGCGGCGCGTCACCGATCTGTTCCGGCTCCTTGTAGTGGACCAAGGGCTTGTACTGATCGCTGGCGAAGACGCCCGTCGGCACTGGCTCTCAGCCCAGACACCGTTTTTGCCAGCGCATCGGCCGCCTCGTTGAGACGTCTCAGGATGTGATTGAGCTCGAGACCATCGAACTTGTCCTCCACCTGGCGGACTTCTCGGTAACACGCGGCCATCTTGGCGTTGTGGCAGCTTTATTCCTTCATGACTTGGTCGATGACCAGCTGGGAGTCGCCCCAGACGTCAAGTCGTCGGATACCCAACTCGATGGTGATGCGTAGGCCGTTGATGAGTGTCTCATATTCGGCCACATTGTTGGAGGAGGGGAAATGGATGCGAACCATGTACCTCATGCGTACCTCGAGGGGCGAAACAAAGACCAGCCCCGTGCCAGCGCCTTTCTTCATCAGCGATCCATCGAAGTACATCGTCTAGTACACTTGGTCGACGGCTGCTGGCGGCATTTGGATCTCGGTCCATTCTGGAACGAAATCAGCCAGCACTTGGGACTTGATGGCCGTCCGGGGGGCATATGAAATGCCTTGACCCATCAGCTCAAGTGCCCACTTGGCGATTCTCCCCGTGGCATCCCTGTTTTGGACGACCACACCGAGAGAGAAGGACGTCACGACCATCACTGGATGCGACTCGAAGTAGTGACGCAACTTTCTCTTGGCGATGAGGACGGTGTACAGGAGCTTCTGGATTTGGGGTTAGCGGGTCTTAGAATCGAACAACACCTCGCTAATGAAGTACATGGGACGCTGCACTTTGAGGGCGTGTCCCTCTTCTTCTCACTCCACCACCAGAGCGGCGCTGACCACTTGCGTGGTGGCCACAATGTAGAATAGAAGCGGTTCCCCGTCGGTTGGATGGACCAGGATCGGGGCCTTCGTCAGAAGCTGCTTGACTGTGTCAAGTGTCTCCTGGGCCTCGGGCGTCCATTCGAAACGGTCGGCCTTCTTTAGGAGCTGATAGAGGGGGTGACCTCGTTCGCCAAGGCGTGAGATAAAGCGGCTGAGCACGATGAGGCACTCTGTAACTCGTTGTACCCCCTTTATGTTCTGAATCGGGCCCATCCTCGTGATGGCCGAGATCTTCTCCGGGTTGGCTTCGATGCCATGCTCGAAGACGATAAAACCCAGTAGCATACCCCTTGGGACCCCAAAAACGCACTTCTCAGGGTTGAGCTTAATGCCGTTTGCTCGAAGTTTCCTGAAGGTCTGCTCTAGGTCGGCTACGACCTGGTCGGCCCGTTTGGACTTGACCACGATGTCATCCACGTAGGCCTCAACGGTTCGCCCGATGAGGTCCCCGAAACACTTGAGTATACAACGCTGGTACGTAGTCCCGCATTTTTCAGACCAAACGGCATTGTGACATAGCAGAATGATCCAAATAGGGTGATGAAAGATGTTGTGAGCTGGTCGGACTCTTTCATCGCGATTTGATGGTACCCGAAGTACGAATCAGGAAGCAAAGGGTTTCACACCCAGAGGTCGAGTCGACTACTTGGTCTATGAGTGGCAAAGGAAATAGATCATTTGGACACGCTTTGTTGAGACCCGTGTAGTCAACACACATTCTCTATTTCTCACTCTTTTTTCGTACAAGAACGGGATTGGCTAACCACTCAGGGTGGTATACTTCCATGATGAATTCGGCCGCCAAAAGCTTCGCAATCTCCTTGTCGATGGCCCTGCGTTTCTCCTCGTCGAAGCGACGCAGGCGCTGCTTCACCGGCTTGGAGCCTGGCCTGATCTTCAAGGCATGCTCGGCGACTTCTCTCGGAATGCCTAGCATGTCCGAGGGTCTCCACGCAAAGATGTCTCTGTTGGCGCGAAGTCAACGAGCGTGTTTTCCTATTCGGAGGAAAGCGTGGTGCCAATGTGCACCATTTTGCCTTTGGAGCCGCTGGGGTCTACGAGGACCTCCTTGGCCCCCTCTATAGACTCAAAAGACCCGATCGACCGCTTGGGGTTGTGTGCTTCTTCGACGACCTCCTCCCTGATGGCCGCAAGCTCTTTGGAGGCGACAATTACAACGACGTGTTCACAGCACTCGACCTCGCACTCGTTTATTTGTATGCCCTACATTGACATCGATTGTGATGCTAAGACTTCTCGGCTAGAACACAGGGGGTGAAGGAGTGGGTCAGCAAGCTTAGAGATACTACAAGAGCAGTGGCGAAGCTAGAGCAAATTAGAGGGTGGTACACTTTGCCTTATGGGTGCATAGGCTTGTGTTATAGTGGTGCATATATGGTTAAATTTTAGAAGAAAGAAAAAACCATTGTTTTCATAATTTTTGGGTGGTGCATTTGCACCCACCAGCACCTACCTAGCTTCACCCCTAACGAGAGGACATGTGAGATGGCAAGGCATCGAGCACTTTGAGAGGAGCGACATGTGGATCCAGAGTAGTTCAATGGTTTCTCTATTGTACCAACATCCATAGGCACCTTAAACCTTTTTGAACGTACCATGGAATCACCAGATGCCAGTGAGTTGCTTCTCTCAAGCATACTAACCATGCCACTCTATCTTAATATCGGTCATGTTGTATTTTTTGCTTAAGGATGACCTTGTCGATGTTTTACCACCGATAGCCTGCCACGGGGGTCCCTGGGGCAGTATGTTTGGGCTTCGGCTTATGCGGAACTCGACGGTGAACGCAAGAGACAGTCAATTTATTCTGCTTCGGGCCCTCGATTGTTGATCGAGTAATAGCCCTACGTCCAGTCGGCGTTAGCT